CTGGCGACCTCTCATGTACATTCCAACTCTAGAGATTTGCTGAAATTTGACCTTTTGGCCTGACATGGTAGCTCATGCCTGTAATCTCAGCACTTTTGGAGGCCAAAGTGGGAGGACTGTTTGAGGCCAGGAGTTCGAGACCAGCTTGGGCAATATAGCGAGACCCCTGTCTGTTTTGAAAAAAAAAAATGAAAGAAAGAAAAAAAGAGAAATTCAACCTTTTTTGACCTAGAAAAATGACAATTTCATATGGATTGACTTAAGAACCTTTTAGGATGCTTGGTTGTGGTGGCTAATACCTGTAATCCCAGCACTTTGGGAGGCTGAGGCAGGTGGATTATTTGAGGTCAGGAGTTCGAAACAACAGTGGCCACCATGATGAAACCCCATTTCTACTAAAAATACAAAAATTAGCTGGGTGTGGTGGCGGGCGCCTGTAATCCCAGGTACTTGGGAGGCCAAGCCTGGAGAATTGCTTGAACCTGGGCGGAGGTTATAGTGAGCCGAGATCTCGCCACTGCACTTGAGCCTGGGCGACATAGCAAGACTCTGTCTCCAAAGGAAAAAAAGAAAAAAAAAAAAAAAGAAACAAAAAAAAAAATCCTTGTAGGATGTTCTCATTCAAAGTTTCTCCCAGGAGGAAATGGCTGGTGAGTTGAGGGGGTGGTGCTCGGCTTTTCACAGGGTGGCTGACGGAGAATGCCCTTCCACTCCCCTCCACATACATGCTGGCCCCCCTCTTGCCTTCTGAGACCTGTAGAGACCCTGTTCTTGTCCCATAGCAACCCCCAGACCCATAAGTAACAGCCCTCAGCTCCAGGGACACCAGAAAATCTTTGCCTTCCCAAATCTAAGACTTTTGTTTTGTTTTTGGTTTTATGAAATGGAGTCTCGCTCTGTTGCCCAGGCTGGAGTGCAGTGGCGTGATCTTGGCTCACTGCAACCTCCGCCTCCCAGGTTCAAGCAATTCTCCTGCCTCAGCCTCCTGAGTAGCTGGGATTACAGGTGCGTCCCACCAAGCCTGACTAATTTTTTTTTTTTTTTTTTGTATTTTCAGTAGAGATGGGGTTTCACAAAGTTGGCCTGGTGGATCTGGAACTCCTGACCTCAGGTGATCCACTGGCCTTGGCCTCCCAAAGTGCTGGGATTACAGAAGTGAGCCACTGTGCCCAGCCTCAAATCTAAGACACTTAAAAAAAATTCTTTTTGGCTGGGCGCGGTGGCTCACGCTTGTAATCCCAGCATTTTGGGAGGCTGAGAGGGGCAGATCACAAGGTCAGGAGATTGAGACCATCCTGGCTAACACGGTGAAACCCCATCTCTACTAAAAATACAAAAATTAGCCGGGCGTGGTGGCGGCGCCTGTAGTCCCAGCTACTTGGGAGGCTGAGGCAGGAGAATGGCATGAACCTGGGAGGCGGAGTTTGCAGTGAGTGGAGATCGTGTCATTGCACTCCAGCCTGGGCGACAGAGCGAGACTCCGTCTCAATAAAAAAAGAAAAAAAAATTTTTGAGGCGGAGTTTGGCGCTTGTTGCCCAGGCTGGAGTGCAATGGCACGATCTCCACTCACTGCAAACTCTGCCTCCCAGGTTCATGCCATTCTCCTGCCTCAGCCTCCCGAGTAGCTGGGATTACAGGCATGTGCCACCATCCCACCTAATTTTGTATTTTTAGTAGAGACTGTGTTTCTCCATATTGGTCAGGCTGGTCTTGAAATCCCGACCTCAGGATCTGCCCACCTTGGCCTCCCAAAGTTCTGGGATTACAGGTGTCAGCCACCATGCCTGGCAATTTTTGTTTAAATTTTAAATTATTTTTTAGAGCCAGGGTCTCTCTCTGTCACCCAAGCTGGAGTGCAGTGGTGCATTCATAGTTCACTGCAGCCTTGACCTCCTGAGCTCAAGCGATCCTCCCTCCTCAGCCTCCACCTCCCACTTCAGCCTCCAGAGTAGCAGGGACTACAGGCTTGCTCCAACACGCCTGGCTAATTAAAACAAATTCTGGAGGGCCAGGTGCTGTGGCTCGCACGTGTAATCACAGCACTTTGGAAGGCCAAGGTAGGAGGATTGCTTGAGCCCAGGAATTGGAGACCAGACTAGGCAACAGAGACAGACCCCATCTCTACAAAAAGTTTTTAAAAATATTACCTGGGGCCGAGCACGGTGGCTCACGCCTGTAATCCCAGCACTTTGGGAGGCCGAGGCAGGCAGATCACAAGGCCAAGAGGTTGAGACCATCCTGGCTAACACGGTGAAATCCTGTCTCTACTAAAAATACAAAAAATTAGCTGGGCGTGGTTGCAGGCGCCTGTAGTCCCAACTACTCAGGAGGCTGAGGCAGGAGAATGGCCTGAACCCGGGAGGCGGAGCTTGCAGTGAGCCAAGATCACGCCACTGCACTCCAGCCTGGGCAACAGAGCGAGACTCCATCTCAGGCAAGACTCTGTCCAGAGACAGCATCTCACTGTGTTGGCCAGGCTGGTCTCAAAATCCTAGCCTCAAGCAGTCCTCACACCTCGGCCTCCCAAAGTGCAGAGATTACAGGCGTGAGCCATCCTGCCAGGCTGGAATCCTAAGAAAGGTATGTTGAGAACCTTTGTGGCCGGATCAGGAGTTTATCAAGATGAAGTATCTGAGGAACAGACCATTGCAAACTTTTGAGATTAAAGAAAGTTTGAGCTGATAAAAGGAAGGTTGCACCTCGGTTTCTTTCCTCTTAATGTCTTCTTCCGGCCAAGGCAGGTTCCCGCAGGAGACTGGGGCTGGCAGGATATGGGAGAGGAGGGGGCCTCATGTTGGCCTCCCAGGACAGAAGAGGAGGGGAGGGGACTTGGGGGATGTTTGTCTCTCTGAGGGTCCGGGGTGAGGGTCGGCCAACACAGGGTCACCTAGATGGGGAAACAGAGTGGAGGACGCCCTGGGTCAAACAGTGAGTCCCAGCCTCTTGTCTCACGAACAACTTCCTCTAGGAAAGTTATTTCATTCTCTAAAACAATAACAAAAGAAGTGTGTAAATATTTCCCTTGAATCCCTAAAGCATGCACAGAAAAAAGCACGAACAGAAAGAACTGCTGAATAAAGAGTTTCCAAAGTAGGGGTTGGAGCCACTTCCTCTTGCTAAGCCTGCATGGTATGTGTACTTTGAGAATTCCTACTACAGTCTTGTTGCTGTTGCATGAACCTAGCGTATACTATGTGCCAGGTACTGTTCTGGTTTTTTTTGTTTTTTTGTTTTTGAGACAGAGTCTCACTCTGTCACCCAGGCTGGAGAGCAGTGGCAAGATCTCGGCTCACTGGAACCTCTGCCTCCTGGGTTCAAATGATTCTCCTGCCTCAGCCTCCTGAGTAGCTGGGACTACAGGCATGCGCCACCACGCCTGGCTAATTTTTATATTTTCAGTAGAGATGGTGTTCTGCCATGTTGGCCAGGCTGGTCTTGAACACTTGACTTCAAGTGATCCACCTGCCTCGGCTTCCCAAAGTGCTGGAATTACAGACGTGAGCTACCACACCTAGCCAGCTCTGTGCGTTTTAAATTTATCAAATGCTCATAGCAACCATCCACTGCACAGATGAGGAAGTTGAGGTTCAGAGGGGCTGAGGCCCTGAACTTTGATGAGGGTATGTGGACCTGGAATATGAATCTTATCATTCTGGCCCTTGAGTCCTTGTTCTCAGTCACGGTGGTATGCTGGGAGAGGTTAAGAATTGCTATGGGGCCGGGCGCGGTGGCTCACGCTTGTAATCCCAGCACTTTGGGAGGCCGAGGCAGGTGGATCACCTGAGGTCGGGAGTTCAAGACCAGCCTGACCAACATGGAGAAACCCCCGTCTCTACTAAAAATACAAAATTAGCCGGGGTGGTGGCACATGCCTGTAATCCCAGCTACTCGGGAGGCTGAGGCAGGAGAATCGCTTGAACCCGGGAGGCGGAGGTTGCGGTGAGCCGAGATCGCGCCATTGCACTCCAGCCTGGGCAAAGAGAGTGAAACTCTGTCACAAACAAACAAACAAACAAACAAACAAAAGAATTGCTATGGGGGCCGGGCGCAGTGGCTCAAGCCTGTAATCCCAGCACTTTGGGAGGCCGAGACGGGCAGATCACGAGGTCAGGAGATCGAGACCATCCTGGCTAACACGGTGAAACCCCGTCTCTACTAAAAAGTACAAAAAAAAACCTAGCCGGGCGAGGTGGCGGGCGCCTGTAGTCCCAGCTACTAGGGAGGTTGAGGCAGGAGAATGGCGTACACCTGGGAGGCGGAGCTTGCAGTGAGCTGAGATCTGGCCACTGCACTCCAGCCTGGACGACAGAGCGAGACTCTGTCTCAAAAAAAAAAAAAAAAAAAAAAAAGAATTGCTATGATGGCTGGGCATGTTGACTCACTCCTGTAATCCCAGCCCTTTGGGAGGTCGAAGTGTGAGGATGGCTTGAGGCTGGGCAATGCAGCAAGACCCCAACTCTACAAAAAATTTTTAAAAATTAGCCAGGCATGTTTGGTGCATGTCTGTAGTCCTAGCTACTCAGGAGGCTGAGGTAGGAGGATCACTTGAGCCTAGGAGTTTGAGGCTGCGGTGAGTCATAATGTTGTCACTGCACTCCAGTCTGAGCGACAGAGCAAGACTCCATCTCTAAAAAAAAGTAAAGTGTCGGGCCGGGCGCGGTGGCTCAAGCCTGTAATCCCAGCACTATGGGAGGCCGAGACGGGCGGATCACGAGGTCAGGAGATCGAGACCATCCTGGCTAACCCGGTGAAACCCCGTCTCTACTAAAAAAATACAAAAAACTAGCCGGGCGAGGTGGCGGGTGCCTGTAGTCCCAGCTACTTGGGAGGCTGAGGCAGGAGAATGGCGTAAACCCGGGAGGCGGAGCTTGCAGTGAGCCGAGATCCAGCCACTGCACTTCAGCCTGGGTGACAGAGCGAGACTCCGTCTCAAAAAAAAAAAAAAAGTAAGGTGTCACTATGGCCAACAACATCTTCCCATGTTACAGATGGAAAATCGAGGCTCAAGAAAGGAGCTGTTTGTGCTTTTTCTACCACTGAGGCCGTGGGCCCTGCGCTCAGCTGCAGCGGTCTTTCTGTGGAGAATGTGACCCCAGGCTGCTTTCCTCAGAGCCAAGGAGGATGGAGGGACGTTTGTCTGTCCTGAGGCTGCAGGCGGGAGGGGTTGAGCACAGTAAGAGAGGCCTGGAGGTGGCTGGGGGCAGCTGGCATGTTGTGGGGAAAACGAAATCCAGGCCAAGACCTCTAAGGGGTTGAAGAGCAAACCGCGTGCAGGTCTGGCTTCCGGGAAGCTGGGACTTCCAGACTAGGGTTGGGGACTTGGGATCAGCCCTCCACCCACGAGCCCTCTCTAGCCCTGCCAGCCGCCCCGTAATTTTGTGTTCTGAGTCATGGGAAGAAGACAGGACAAACACACCCTGAGAGTGAGACGAGGCCACTCCTAGTTTGTACTGCTTATAAAGATTTACTGGGACCGGTGAGGTGGCAGTGCTCAGAAGCATCCGGCAGGAGCTTCTGGCAAACAGGACGGATTTCCAGGACTCTACCAGCTGCCAGACACGGCAGGGAGAGACCCCAGACCTCCTGGGTCCTGGCTGTGGGCCCAGATTGCGCTCCCAAGTGGCGTTTGACTCACGTGGGGACCCTCTTGGAAGAGACGGTAAGGATGGAGGCAACAAGGGCGGGAAGGAGGGAGAGAGATTGCATGATCCTGGCTTCCTGGAATCGTTACTTTCAGAATCTGGGAAGCAGAACTAGAGTTGGAGAAGTGCTGTCTCATTATGGCCACACTGGAATGCACGTCAGAGTCCTGGGCTCTTGGAATTAACTTGGGCAGCCCAGCAGCAAAGCTCTTATCAAAGGAGCTAAACGTTTTTTTTATTTTTGGAGACGGGGTTTTACTCTTGTTGCGCAGGCTGGAGTGCAATGGTGCCATCTCAGCTCATCACAACCTCCACCTCCCCAGTTCAAGCAATTCTCTTGTCTCAGCTGGGATTACAAGTGCGCGCCACCACGCTCAGCTAATTTTGTATTTTTAGTAGAGATGGGGTTTCTCCATGTTAGTCAGGCTGGTCTTGAACTCTCGGCCTCAGGTGATCCGCCCGCCTTGGCCTCCCAAAGTGCTGGGATTACAGGCGTGAGTCACCATGCCCGGCCCAAATGGTTTTTCACACACAGGTGTAAGGGAAACAGCCTCTCTCAAACCTGCAGGAATTCCTGCAGCTTCCGGCAAATCCACCAAACTATAGCATGCGTAGCGAGCAAGCCCTTTCACTCAGCGATTCCAATTCTTTTCTCGTTCTTTCCTTTTCTCTTTCTTTCCTTTGACAGGGTCTTGCTCTGTCGCCCAGGCTGGAGTGCGGTGGCGCGATCTTGGCTCATGGCAAACTCCGGCTCCCAGGTTCAAGTGATTCTCCTGCCACAGCCTGCTGAGTAGTTGGGATTACAGGTGCACGCCACCACACCTAACGAATTTATGTATTTTTAGTAGAGACGGGTTCCACCATGTTGGACAGGCTGGTCTCCAACTTTTGACCTCAGGTGATCCACCCACCTCGGCCTCCCGAAGTGCTGGGATTACAGGCGTAAGCCACTGCACCTGGCCGTAATTGTTTTTTGTATTTTTAGTAGAGACGAGATTTCACCATGTTGGAGAGGCTGCTCTCGAACTCCTGACCTCAGGTGATCCTCCCACATCGGACTCCCAAAGTGCTGGGATTACAGACATGAATCGCCGTGCCTAGCCCCCTCAATGTTCTATCACAAAATCTGTCCACATTCTTGCGTGGTGTTTGTTCATTCTCACCATGTAGAATATTCCACAGGGTGAACACCCTATGATGTGTTTATCCGTTCTGCTGTGAGTGGCTATTTGACGGTTTCTCATCTCGGGCTGCTGTGAACATTCTGGCACGTGTGTTCTGGTGAGCATATGTGTGCTTTTCTGGGAAGGAGGCTGATCACCGGGTCGTGAGGGAGGAATCCTAGAAGATGGATGTTCAGGAAGGAAGAACGTTCAGCCTTTTTTTTTTCTGAGCATCTCGCTCTGTCACCCAGGCTGGAGTGCAGTGGCGCCGTCTCGGCTCACTGCAAGCTCCGCCTCCTGGGTTCAGGTCATTCTCCTGCCTCAGCCTCCCGAGTAGCTGGGACTATAGGCGCCTGCCGCTGCGCCCGGCTAATTTTTTGTATTTTTAGTAGAGACGGGGTTTCACTGTGTTAACCAGGATGGTCTCGATCTCCTGACCTCGTGATCCACCCGCCTCGGCCTCCCAAAGTGCCGGGATTACAGGTGTGAGCCACTGTGCCCGGCCAGCCTTCTTTGATTCTACTCCAGAGTTTTCCAGAGCAGAGGATCCAGCACGACTGGATGCACAGACAGGCGTGCACCAAGAGGCACACATGAGGATGCTTGCAATCACAACAAAAGAAACCTAAGTGACCACTTAGTTTCTCTGTGCCTCTGTTTACTCTTTTATTCTTTCACTTACCAAATATCGACCGTGCCTGTGCTGTGTGCCAGGTTCTGTCCCAGATGCCAAGGACACAGTGGCACCTAAGGCCAGAAGGAGCTGATGTTCTGTGAAATGAGGATGATGATACTGACCTCAAGAGTTTGTGATAAGGTTTATATCTTGTAGATCATAGGTGCTCAATAAAAGCCATCTACTATTTTAATTATTATGAAATAATAAGAAGGGTACCTATGCTTTAGAATCTAGATATAAGTACAGATGCTCTTTGACTTAACGATGGGGTCCCATCTCTATCAACCCATCGTAAGGCTGGGCACAGTGGCTCACACCTGTAATGGCAGCACTTTTGGGAGGCTGAGGTGGGAGGATTGCTTGAGCCCAGGAGTTCGAGATCAGCCTGGGCAACGTAGTGAAAGCTGTCTCTACAAAAAATAAAAAATTAACTGGGCGTGATGGCGTGCACCCGTAGTCACAGTTACTCCAGAGGCTGAGGCAGGAGGATCACTTGAGCCTAGGAGGTAGAGGCTGCGGTGAGCCGAGATTGAACCATTGAACTCAGCTTGGGTGACTGAACAAGACAAAAACACAAACAAAATGAAACAAAACAAAAACCCCATCGTAAGTTTAAAATATCCTAAATCAAATTGGATTTAATACACCTAGCCTACCGAACATCATAGCCTACTTTTTTTTTTTTTTTTTTTTGAGACAGGGTCTCACTCTGTTGTCCAGGCTGGAGTGCAGTGGCACGATCTTGGCTCACTGCAGCCTTGACCTCACGGGCACAGCCTACCTCAAATGTGTTCAGAACACTTACATTACCCAACAGCAAGACAAAGTCATCTAAACCAAATCCAATTTTTTTTTTTTTTGAGATAGAGTCTCACTCTGTTGCCCAGGCTGGAGTGCGTGGTGTGATCTCAGCTCACTGCAACCTCCACCGCCCAGGTTCAAGGGATTCTCCTGCCTTGACCTCCTGACTAGCTGAGATTACAGGTACTTGCCATCACGTGCAGCTAATTTTTTTTTTTTTTAGTAGAGATGGGATTTCACCATGTTTCCCAGGCTGGTCTCGAACTCCTGACCTCAAGTGATCCGTCTGCCTAGGACTCCCAAAGTTTTAGGATTACAGGTGTGAGCTTCTGCACCTGGCCCTGTTTCTCATTATTCTCCTTATCATTGTTATTGAATGGCCTTTAGTTAATAAGCATGACTTGGGCAGACAGTGGACTGTTTTTGATGCTTTGGGGATGAATGGGGTTGATATCTGTACAGATAGGAAGACAGATATCTGGCACGTTAAGTGAAAAGATGAAGCAATGGAACAATGTGTGTTGAAAGCTCCCATTTCTGGTTAAAACGTTACAAAGGAAATGCCATCTGCGATACCATTGTTTTGGGCTTACAGTTGGACAAATTACGATGCACAGAAAGTTCCCCAGATTGTAATAAACAGGGGCCAGGAAGGGTGGAGTCTTTGTGGGGTGAGAGGATGCGTGTGGACAGTGATAACAGCAGCTAGCATGCGTATGACACCCACTGAAAACCAGCGCCGTACACTCAGTTCTACGTTTCTAACTCGCTGAATTCTTACCACACCCCCTAAGGCAGGTATATTATTATTTCCATTTTACTAAGGCACAGATAGGTTAGGTAACTTGCCCAAGGCCACACAGCTGGTAGGAATTGGAGGGTTTTTGTTGTTGTTTGTTGGTTTTTTGAGACGGCGTCTCACTCTTATCGCCCCGGTTGGAGTGCAGTGGTGGGATCTTGGCTCACTGCAATCTCCGCCTCCTGGGTTCCAGTGATTTTCCTGCCTCAGTCTCCCTAGTAGCAGGGATTACAGGCGCCCACCACCACGCCTGGCTGATTTTTGTATTTTTAGTAGAGACCAGGTTTCACCATGTTGCCCAGGCTGGTCTCCAACTCCTGGCTTCAAGTGATCTGCCCGCCTCAGCCTCCCAAAGTGCTGGGATTACAGGTGTGAGCCACTGTGCCCAACCGGGCGGGGGGGGTTCAGTTTGTAAATGTTTTTCTTTGTCTCTCTCTCTCTCTCTTTCTTTCTTTCTTTCTTTGACAGAGTCTTTCTCTGTTGCCCAGGCTGGAGTGCAGTGGCAAGATCTCAGCTCACTGCAAGCTCCACCTCCTGGGTTCACGCCATTCTCCTGCATCAGCCTCCCGTGTAGCTGGGACTACAGGCGCCCGCCACCATGCCCAGCTAATTTTTTTGTATTTTTTAGTAGAGATAGGGTTTCACTGTGTTAGCCAGGATGGTCTCGATCTCCCGACCTCGTGATCCGCCTGCCTCGGCCTCCCAAAGTGCTGGGATGACAGGCGCTAGCCACTGCGCCTGGCCTCTTTCTTTTTTTCAAGGGACGGGGTCTCACTCTGTTGCTCAGGCTGGAGTACAGTGGTGTGATCATGGCTAACTGCAGCCTCGAACTCCTGGCCTCAGATGATCCTCCACCCCAATCTTCAAAAAGGTTGGGATTGCCGGCATGAATCACTATGCCTGGCTAATTTTTAAATTTTTTGTAGAGACAGAGGGTCTCACTGTGTTGCCTAGGCTGGTCTTGAACTCTTGGCCTCAAGCGATCCTTCCTCCTCAGCCTCCCAATGTACTGGGATTACAGGTGTGAGCCACTGCACCTGGCTAAATTCTGCACACCTTTTCCTCTAGGGATAAAAATAATATGAAAGTGGAATGCCAGACTCCAGATACATACACCAAGTGGCCTGGCCTCTTCACTGCTACCTGGCATGGAGGAGGGGAGTGCCCTAACTTCCTCTCTGTCCTTCCTGTTGCCTCAACACCAGCTGGAGTGCTGGGCAGTGCCACCCAACCCATAATAGTCAGCAGAGAGCCGCACGGCCGGGTCACACTGACATTGTGGGGATGGGGTGGTGGGGACTCCTGCCTGGGTCCTGTGCTACCCAAGCTTCGTCTACCTGAGCCTGTGTGCCACGTGCTAGACACATCTTAACTCCTCAAGGACTCCCAAAACCAGAGAGGTAGGTTCTCCTCCATGACTCTTGTTTTCCCGATGAGGAAATAGACACAGCCAGCTGCAACTGACACCCACAATCACGGAACCCCTGGCTGCTCGGGGCCACTTGCCGTACTGCCTGCCAGCTCTCCAGAGCCTGAGATTTGGAGATGGTAATATTCTAGGGCATGGGGTTCTGCAGCAGGGACTAACACACTTTGAAATTTATCTACTTAGGGGCCGGGCGCGGTGGCTCACGCCTGCAATCCCAGCACTTTGGGAGGCTGAAGTGGGCGGATTACAAGGTCAGGAGTTCGAGACCAGCCTGGCCAATATGGTAAACCCCGTCTCTATTAAAAATACACGGCCGGGCGCGGTGGCTCAAGCCTGTAATCCCAGCACTTTGGGAGGCCGAGACGGGCGGATCACGAGGTCAGGAGATCGAGACCATCCTGGCTGACACGGTGAAACCCCATCTCTACTAAAAAATACGAAAACTTAGCCGGGCGAGGTGGCGGGCGCCTGTAGTCCCAGCTACTCGGGAGGCTGAGGCAGGAGAATGGCGTAAACCCGGGAGGTGGAGCTTGCAGTGAGCTGAGATCCGGCCACTGCACTCCAGCCTGGGCGACAGAGCGAGACTCCGTCTCAAAAAAAAAAAAAAATAAATAAATAAATAAAAATACACAAATTAACTGGGCGTGGTGGTGGGTGCCTGTAGTCCCAGCTACTCAGGAGGCTGAGGCGGGAGAATCGCTTGAACCCGGGAGGTGGAGGTTGCAGTGAGTCGAGATTGTGTCACTGCACTCCAGCCTGGACAACAGAGCGAGACTCTGTCTCAAAAAAAAAATTTTACCTATTTAGCTGAGTGATCTTAAGTAAGTTATTTAACTTTGCTGTGCCTTGTCTGTAGAATAAATATAACAGTAGTGTCAAATTCAGACAGTTATTATAAGGTTTTAGTGAGGCTGGGCACGGTGGCTCAGGCCTGTAATCCTAGCACTTTCGGAGGCCGTGGCAGGCAGACCACTTGAGGTCAGGAATTCCAAACCAGCCTGGCCAACATGGTGAAACCCCATCTCTACTAAAAATATAAAAAATTAGCCCCAGACATGGTGGTGCACGCCTCTAATCCCAGCTACTCGGGAGGCTGTGGCAGGAGTGTTGCTTGAACTCAGGAGGCAGAGATTGCAGTGAGCTGAGGTAGCGCCCCTGCACTCCAGCCTGGGCATCAGAGTGAGACTCCGTCTCAGTAAAATAAAATAAGGCCGGGCGTGGTGGCTCACGCCTGTAATCCCAGCACTTTGGGAAGCCGAGGCGGGCGGATCACAAGGTCAGGAGATCGAGACCACGGTGAAACCCCGTCTCTACTAAAAATACAAAAAATTAGCCGGGCGCAGTTGTGGGCGCCTGTAGTCCCAGCTACTCGGGAGGCTGAGGCAGGAGAATGGCGTGAACCCGGGAGGCGGAGCTTGCAGTGAGCCGAGATCGCGCCACTGCACTCCAGCCTGGGCGACAGAGCGAGACTCCGTCTCAAAAAAAATAAATAAATAAAAAATAAAATAAAATAATAAAAAAAAATAAGGTTTCAGTGACACAGTGTTTAAAGCTGCGTGGTGGCCACTGCCTGTAGTCCCAGCTACTCAGGAGGCAGAGGTGGGAGGGTCGCTTGAGCACAGGAGTTTGAGGCTGCAGTGAGCCGTGACTGCACCACTGCACTCCAGCCTTGGCAAGAGAGTGAGACCCTGTCTCTAAAAAATATAACACGGTGAAACCCTGTCTCTACTAAAAATACAAAAAACTAGCCAGGCGAGGTGGCGGGCGCCTGTAGTCCCAGCTACTCAGGAAGCTGAGACAGGAGAATGGTTTAAACCCAGGAGGCGGAGCTTGCAGTGAGCCGAGATCGCGCCACTGCACTCCAGCCTTTTAAGACTCCGTCTCAAAAAAAATAATAAAAAATAAATATATATATATTTTATTATAATATATATAATATTATTATAATATATTATATTATATATATATATATATAAATTTGCCAGGTGCGGTGGTGCACACCTGTAGTCCCACGTACTCAGGAGGCTGAGGTGGGAGGACCACTTGAGTCCAGGAGTTCGAGGCTGCAGTAAGCCATGATAGTGCCATTGCATTCCAGCCTGAGTGACAGAGCAAGATCTGTCCCTAAAAAAAAAAGTTTGGCACAAAACACAAAGTGTTCAATAAATGATGGCTTCTAATAATAATAATACTTTTATTATTATTATTATTGTCAGGCACAGTGGCAGTCACGCCTGTAATCCCAGCAGTTTGAGAGGCTGAGGCAAGGCAGGTTGCTTGTGCCCCAGAATTCAAGAGGTGGAACCAGATGACCTCCAAAAAAAAAAAAAAATTAATCAGGCATGATGGTGTGCATCTGTAGTCCTAGCTACTTCGGAGGCTGAGGTGGAGGGTTGTTTGAGCCCATGAGGTGGAGGCTGCAGTGAGCCAAGATAGTGCCACTGCAGTCCAGTCCAGGCTACAGAACCAGACCCCGTCTCAAAAAATAGTAATAATAATATTATTGTGGCCGGACATGGTGGCTCATGCCTGTGATCCCAACACTTTGGGAGGCCGAGGTGGGCGGATCACCTGAGGTCAGGAGTTCGACACCAGCCTGGCTAACATGGTGAAACCCCTTCTCCACTAAAAATACAAAAATTAGCCAGGCGTGGTGGCAGGTACCTGTAATCCCAGCTACTTGGGAGGCTGAGGCAGGAGAATTGCTTGAACCTGGGAGGCGGAGGTTGCAGTGAGCCAAGATCATGCCACCACACTCCAGCCCGGGTGACAGAGCGAAACTCTGTCTCAAAAAGAAAAAAATTATTGCTATGATAGATTGTGTCGCGTCTCTGCTCAGCACCCTCCTACAGCACCTGTCTCATTTGGAATAAATGATGACGTCCTTGCGTTGCCCACGTGGCCCTACACGCCACGGCCCCTGATAACTGGTTTTTGTTTTTGTTTTGAGATGGAATCTTGCTCTGTTGCCCAGGCTGGAGTGTAGTGGCATGATTTCAGTTCACAGTAACCTCTGCCTCCCTGGTTCCAGTGATCCCTCCTGCCTCAGCCTCCTGAGTAGCTGGGATTATAGGCGCCTGCCACCACTCCAGGCTATTTTTGTATTTTTAGTAGAGATGGGGTTTCACCATGTTGGCCAGGCTGGTCTCAAACTCCTGACCTTAGGTGATCCGCCCACCTTGGCCTCCCAAAGTCCCGTGATTACTGGCATGAGCCACTGTGCCTGGCTCCTGATGACTCGGCTATTGCCTCCAGCCCTCTCCCGCTGGCAGATTCCACTCCAGCCACACTGGCCTCCTTGCTGTTCTCAGACGTGACTGTCATGTTCCCACCTCAGGGCCTTTGCACTGGCTGTTCTCAATGCCTGAAACACTCTCCCCCCAGATCTCCATGCATCTCTCCCACCTTTCCTTCAGATTTTTATACAAATATCACCTTCTCAGAGAAGCCTTCCCTGACTATGCCTGTAAAACTCCAACATAGCCAGCTTCCCTGTGTGATACTTTTCCCACAGTATTTATCATCTTCTAAAATACTGTGGATTTTGGATTTTGCTCATTTCTTTCTTTTTTTCTGATTTTTTTTTTCTTTTTTGAGACACAGTCTCACTCTGTCATCCGGGCCGGAGTGCAGGTGTACGATCAAGCTCACTCAGTCTCCTGGGCTCAAGTGATTCTCCCACTTCAGCCTTTTCAGTAGCTGGGATTACAGGCACACATGACCGTGCCTGCCTATGTTTTAAAAAGTTTTTGTAGAGATGGGGTCTCTCGATGTTGCCCGGGCTCGTCTAGAACTCCTGACCTCAAGCGATCTTCCCACCTTGGCCTCTCCAACTGTTGAGATTACAGGCCTGAACCACCGTGCCCAGCCCCAATATTCCAACGTACTAGGGTTTTAGCATTGCAATATTCTAGAATTCCAAGATGCCACCGAGCTACTTCTAACAACACTAAGTTCTGGAATTCCATTTTTTTCTTTTTTTGAGACGAAGTCTCACTCCGTCTCCCAGGCTGGAGTGCAGTGGTGTGATCTCAGCCCACTGCCACCTGCATCTTCTGGGTTCAAGAAATTTTCAACCTCCCAAGTAGCTGGGATTACAGGCACACACCACCACACCCAGCTAATTTTTGTATTTTTAGTAGAGATGGCATTTCGGCATGTTGGCCTGGTCTTGAACTCCTGGCCTCAAGTGATCTGCGCTTCTTGGCCTCCCAAAGTGTTAAGATTACAGGTGTGAGCCACCACACTCAGCCTAGAATTCCAATATTCTAAAGCACGGGAGTTCTTATGACACAGTATTCCAGTTTGCAAGGTGCTGGTGGGCCGGGCTGATGGACACCCTAGATCTCCAGGGCCATGGAGTTTCCTCCTCTGAGTTTTCATTGTCTTTCTTCCCTGCCCAGACACCAGGAGCCTGAATGGGGAACGATTCTATCAGCTACGAGTATGGGGATTACAGCGACCTCTTGGACCTCCCTGTGGACTGCCTGGATGGCGCCTGCCTGGCCACCGACACGCTGCGCATGGCCCCGCTCCCGCTGTATGCTGCCATCTTCCTGGTGGGGGTGCCGGGCAATGCCATGGTGGCCTGGGTGGCTGGGAAGGAGGCCCGCCGGAGGGTGGGTGCCACCTGGTTGCTCCACCTGGCCGTGGCGGATTTGCTGTGCTGTTTGTCTCTGCCCATCCTGGCAGTGCCCATTGCCCATGGGGGCCACTGGCCATATGGGGAAGTGGGCTGTCGGGTGCTGCCCTCCGTCATCCTGCTGACCATGTATGCCAGCGTCCTGCTCCTGGCAGCTCTCAGTGCCGACCTCTGCTTTCTGGCTCTCGGGCCTGCCTGGTGGTCGAAGGTTCAGCGGGCGTGCGGGGTGCAGGTGGCCTGCGGGGCAGCCTGGACGCTGGCCTTGCTGCTCACCATGCCCTCCGCCATCTACCGCCGGCTGCACCAGGAGCACTTCCCCGCCCGGCTGCAGTGTGTGGTGGACTACGGTGGCTCCTCCAGCACCGAGAACGCAGTGACCGCCGTCCGGTTTCTTTTTGGCTTCCTGGGGCCCCTGGTGGTCGTGGCCAGCTGCCACGGTGCCCTCCTGTGCTGGGCAGCTCGACACCGCTGGCCACTGGGCATGGCCATTGTGGTGGGGTTTTTTGTCTGCTGGACGCCCTACCACCTGTTGGGGCTGGTGCTCACTGTGGCAGCCCCGAACTCCGCACTCCTGGCCAGGGCCCTGCGGGCTGAACCCCTCGTCGTGGGCCTTGCCCTTGCTCACAGCTGCCTCAATCCCATGCTTTTCCTGTATTTCGGGAGGGCTCAACTCCGCCGGTCACTGCCAGCTGCCTGTCACTGGGCCCTGAGGGAGTCCCAGGGCAGGGAAGAAAGTGTGGACAGCAAGAAATCCACCAGCCATGAACTGGTCTCGGAGATGGAGGTGTAGGCTGGAGAGACACTGTGGATGTGTATCTTCCTATCCCATTTCACAATGCTGGCTTCAGGCATAGCTGGATCCAGGAGCTCACTGAGGTCTTCATTTTATTCCTTCATTCAACAGATACCCATTATGCACCTGCTATGTGCAAGGCCTTTTTAGGCACTGGAGATATAGTAGTGACCAAAACAGACACAAATCCTGCCCTCAGGGAGCTGATATTCTAGTGGAGGAAGACAGACTTTAAACAAAGATATACAGGGCCATTTGCGGTGGCTCATGCCTGTAATCCCAGCGCTTTGAGAGGCTGAGGCAGGTGGATCACTTGAGGTCAGGAGTTCAAGACCAGCCTGGGCAATATTGTGAATCCCCATCTCTACTAAAAATACAAAAATTAGCCGGGCGTGGTGGCATATGCCTGTAGTCCCAGCTACTTGAGAGGCTGAGGCAGGAGACTTGTTTTGAACCCGGGAGGCAGAGGTGGCAGTAAGCCAAGATTGAGCCCCTGCACTCCAGCCTGGGTGACAGAGCGAGACTCCGTCTCAAAAAAAAAAAAAAAAAAATTAAAAGATTTTATTTATTTATTTTTTTGAGACGGAGTCTCGCTCTGTTGCCCAGGCTGGAGTGCAGTGGCACAATCTCGGCTCACTGCAAGCTCCACTTCCTGAGTTTGTGCCATTCTCCTGCCTCAGCCTCCTGAGTAGCTGGGATTACAGGTGCCTGCCACCATGCCCAGCTAATTTTTTAATTTTGAATAGAGACTGGGTTTCACCTTGTTAGCCAGGATGGTCTCGATCTCCTGACCTCGTGATCCGCCCGTCTCAGCCTCCCAAAGTGCTGGGATGACAGGCGTGAGCCACTGCACCCGGCCAAAAGATTTTTAGCAGGATCCCTCTGGTTGCTGGTGGAGATGACAGTATGGTGTGGGGGCAGTGAAGATCCCAGAGAGGAGGCTACTGCAATGGTCCAAGCAGGAGGTGATAGTGGTTTGGATCAGGGAACAGAGTCGAGGTGGTGAGGGGCTGACAGGTCATGGATCTATTCTGAAGGAAAGGCCAAGTCCAGGCTCCTTAGCTCAGCATTCAAGGCTTGTCTCCACCACGGACACACTTCCTCTCTGGCTTCTCAGACCTTACAGCAGATAGAATCATGACCCCCAATGGTGTCCACATCTGAATCCTCTGAATCTGTGAACAGGTGACCTTCCATGGCAAAAGGGACTTTGCAGATGAGATTAAGGATCTTGAGAAGGGGTGGTTATCCTGGATTGTCCGGGTGGACTCAATGGAGTCACAAGGGTCCTTTTAAGAGGGAGGCAGGAGGGTCAGGGTCAGTCACAGGAAATGTGACAACGGAAGCAGATGTCATAGTGACGTGAGGGGGTGCCAAGAAATGCAGGCAGCTTCCAGAAGCTGAAACAGACAAGAAAACTGATTTTCTCTGAAGCTCTCAGAAGGAACGCAGACCTGCTGACACTTTCAGAACTCTGATCTGCAGACCTTTAAGAAAATACATTTGTATTGTTTTAAGTCACTATGTTTGGGGTGTTTTTTACAGCAGCCGTGGGAAGCTAACACACACCCTTTGGACTATATTATTTTCTTGCTTCTGCATCTTTCCTGAAGCTGTGCCACTGACTGGAATGTCCTTCTGATCTATGATGTGCAGTTCAACAATCAAGAACCATCTGTGGCTATTCAAATTAGAATCAATTGGCCAGGCGTGGTGGCTCACGCCTATAATCTCAGCACTTTGGGAGGCCGAGGCAGGAGGATTGCATGAGCCCAGGAGTTTGAGAGCAGCCTGGGCAACATAGCAAGACCCCATCTCTATAAAAAATACAAAAATTAGCCAGGCATGGTGGGGCGTGCCTGCAGTCCCAGCTACTGAGGAGGGAGTTGCTTGAATCCTTCTGTTTCAATCCTCCTTGAAGCAGGTAGATTGCTTGAGCCCGGGAAGTGGAGTTTGCAGAGAGCTTAGATCGCACTGCTGCACTCCAGCCTGGATGTCAGAGTGAGACTCCATCTCGAAAGAAAGAATAAATTTTCGTTTCAAATTCAGTTCCTCAGGCACACTGACCATAGTTCAAGCACTCAGTAGCCACATATGGCTGGTGACTGCCATATTCAACAGCACAGCTATAGAACACTGCCATCATAAAAGAGATTTCTGTTACAAAATACTCTCTACCTGCTTAGATCTCTTAAATTACATAGTAGGCCAGGCACGGTGGCTCATGCCTGTAATCCCACCACTTTGGGAGGCCCAGTCGAGAGGATCCCTTGAGCCCAGAAGTTGGAGACTGGCCTGGGCAACAGAGCAAGACCCCATCTCTACAAAATAAAAAAAAGAAAATTAGCCTGGTTTCGTGCACATGCCTGTAGTGCCAGCTACTAGGGAGGCTGAGATGGGAGGATTGCTTGAGCCTGCGAGGTTGAGGCTGAAGTGAGCCATGAAACTGCACTCTAGCCTAGGTGACGGAGTGAGACCCTGCTGCTAAATAAATAAATAATTAAATAACATAATAGTGGTACCTGTGTCTGCAGTCATTACTCCAGAACAGCACTTTACACATAGTTTCTCCTTTAAGGTCATTCTCACAACAGCCCAGGGAGATAGGGTGGCATGCTTCATTTTATAAGCTGAGGTCCAGGGAGGAGAGGTCATTTACCCAAGATCACACAGCAAGAACACCGGACAGCTGGAATTTGATCCCAGTTTTACTTGACTCCGACACTCCTGCTCTTCATTATCAATAATTTCCTTCAAGGCCTCCCTCAAATGTCACTTCCTCCAGGAAGCCCTCCCTGATTTATACTCCTTCCAGAGAGAATGGGCTCTTCCTTTCTCTGAGTCTCTGGAATACAAGGTCCCAGCTAAACTGTAAATTCCCCAAGGGTAACAACTGGACTAATTTTTAAATTTTTTATTTTATTATTATTTTTTATTTTTTTCAGACGGAGTCTCTCTCTGTCGCCCAGGCTGGAGTGCAGTGGCACAATCTCGGCTCACTGCAAGCTGCACCTCCTGGGTTCATGCCATTCTCCTGCCTCAGCCTCCCGAATAGTTGAGACTACAGGTACCTGCCACCACGCCCGGCTAATTTTTTGTATTTTTTTTTTTTTTTTTTTTTTTAGCAGAGACAGAGTTTCACTGTGTTAGCCAGGATGGTCTCGATCTCCTGACCTCGTGATCCGCCTGTCTCAGCCTCCCAAAGTGCTGGGATTACAGGCGTGAGCCATCATGCCTGGCCTATTATTATTTTTTTGAGATGAAGTCTGGCTCTGTCACCCAGGCTGGATTGCAGTGGCATGATCTCAGGTGACTGCAACCTCCACCTCCCAGGTTCAAGCAATTCTTATGGCTCAGCCTCCCAAGTAGCTGGGATTACAGGCACAGCCACCACGCCTGGCTAATTTTTGTATTTTTAGTAGAGACAGGGTTTCACCATGTTGGCCAGGCTGGTGTCGAACTCCTGACCTCAGGTAATCCACCCACCTCAGTCTCCCAAAGTGCCAGGAATACAGCCGTGAGCCACCGTTTCTGGCCTTATCCTGTGACTTAGAATGCTTAACCTCCTGGGAATGCAGCCCAGTAGGCCTCAGCCTTATTTCACCCAGCTCCTATTCAAGATGGAATCACTCTGGTTCACATGTGTCTGACATTTCCCTCCTCCCTTTTATTTTTATTATTTTTATTTTATTTTATTTTATTTTATTTTATTTTATTTTATTTTTTGAGACGGAGTCTCACTCTGTCACCCAGGCTGGAGTGCAGTGGCACCATCGCGGTTCACTGCAAGCTCTCTCCGCCTCCCAGGTTCATGCCATTCTCCTGCCTCAGTCTCACGAGTAGCTGGGAGTACAGGTGCCCGCCACCATGCCTGGCTAATTTTTTGTATTTTTTAGTAGAGACGGGGTTTCACCGTGTTAGCCAGGATGGTCTCGATCTCCTGACCTCGTGATCCGCCCGCCTCGGCCTCCCAAAGTGCTGGGATGACACGCGTGAGCCACTGCGCCCGGCCCCCCTACTCCCTTTTATAAGAGAAGCTTTAATCCTAAGGGTTGTAGAGGGAGGAAGATCCATCTTCTGTAACTTCTTCAGGCTGAAGAGGGGTGATGATATTCCTGCCTAACTATTAGGATCTATTGGATTCAGGGTAGAGAGGAGTTCAATTAGAAAGCATTGGTATCACATATTTTGTTACTTAGTATTTTACTCAGAATTCTCATGCCTGAATTAAGACCAAGGCTGTCTTGTAAAATAAAATTTGTTGTGGAACAATTTATTTTTTTTATTTTTTTTTTTTTTTGAGACGGAGTCTTGCTCTGTCACCCAGGCTGGAGTGCAGTGGCCGGATCTCAGCTCACTGCAAGCTCCACCTCCCGGGTTTACGCCATTCTCCTGCCTCAGCCTCCCAAGTAGCTGGGACTACAGGCGCCCGCCACCGCGCCCGGCTAGTTTTTTGTATTTTTAGTAGAGACGGGGTTTCACCGTGTTAGCCAGGATGGTCTCGATCTCCTGACCTCGTGATCCGCCCGCCTCGGCCTCCCAAAGTGCTGGGATTACAGGCTTGAGCCACCGCGCCCGGCCCTAATTTATTTTTTTTTTTATTTTTTATTTTTATTTTTTTTTTGAGACGGAGTCTCGCTCTGTCGCCCAGGGTGGAGTGCAGTGGCGCGATCTCGGCTCACTGCAAGCTCCGCCTCCCGGTTCACGCCATTCTCCTGCCTCAGCCTCCCGAGTAGCTGGGACTACAGGCGCCCACAACCGCGCCCGGCTAATTTTTTTTGTATTTTTAGTAGAGACGGGGTTTCACCATGGTCTCGATCTCCTGACCTTGTGATCCGCCCGCCTCGGCCTCCCAAAGTGCTGGGATTACAGGCGTGAGCCACCGCGCCCGGCCGTGTGGAACAATTTATACACCTCCTTTGAGGTAGGAGGTGGGACTCAACTCTGGAGGTGGGGCTCAAACATTAGACCAAATTGAGGACTAACTAAAACAGGGAGGAGGCCGAAGCAACTTTTTTTTTTTTTTGAGAAGGAGTCTTGCTCTGTTACCCAGGCTGGAGTGCAGTGACATGATCTCGGCTCGCTGCAACCTCCACCTTCAGGGTTCAAGCGATTCTCCTGCTGGTCGAACTCCTGACTCAGGTGATCTGCGAACCTCGGCCTCCCAAAGCGCTGGGATTACAGGTGTGGGCCACCACGCCCAGCCCGAAACAACTTTCTATGACACGCCTACTAGTGTGCCATGTCAGTCTGCCATTGCCATGGCAACACC